GGAGGGCTGCGCGGTCAGCCGGCGGGACTGCGGCCCTGGCCCTGCCGCTTGGAAGAAGCCAGGTCTCGGGCAAGTCATCGCCGTGATCTGTGTGCGAGGTGTGCGGGACAACTCGCGTGGACCTGCGATGAGCCGGAGCTGCCGTCCTGCCCGGGGTGGTCGTGAGAAGGAAGGGAAACCACTGCCAGGAGTCAGGGGCCCCCGCTGCAAACGCTGATGTTCCAGCCCCTGGTCCGAGAGCCTGCGCAGCGCTGCGGGGGAAACGGGTGGCTGGTTATGGGACAGCACCAGGTGCAAGGTTCTATCTCTGTGACCTAACTGCAATCCCTGCCTGGCCAGTTTCCGCTCCTGAGACCTCGGACAACTTCTTAACCTCCCTGGACCTCAGTTTCCTCATCTGCTGAATGGGGACAGCTTGGGCTCTGGAGCTGGACCTGGGTTCGAATCCAGGTTTTAAACACAGTATCTCCGAGACCGAGGACAAAGTACTCCCTCGCAGCTCTCTGTCTGTAAAGCAGGGATGGAAAGCACTTCGCTGATGGGGTTGTCGTGAAGCTTAAATGAGTTAATACATGCAAACCACTTAGCTGAGTGGCGCGGAGGAAGCCCCCAGTAAGCGTGAGCCACCATTACTCCGTGTTTCGTGTGTCCTGCACAGTTCTGTACACATTTCAATTCATTATCGATATTTAAAGTTGAGGAATTTCCCGTAAAACCCTGGGGTATCTGACCGCTCGAAAAATGGGGCAATGTGGTAACAAAAGGCCACACTTGCTCAGGGCTTGGTAAAAACTCTACCCCTTTGTAATGAAACGAGTGCCTTCCTGGTGTGTAGAGGAAAACCTGAGGACCACAAGTAGAAAATACCAGTCAAGTTACTCAGTATAAATTTCCATAATAAGATATTCGATGAAATATGTTCAGCCGCGGATACCAGAGTACCCAACTAACAGTGGCTTCTACGTAAGAACATTCCAGATATGATTTGACAAAGTATTTAAGGTAGGAGGTCTCAGGGTTCCGGCAGCGACTCAGCAATGTTGGAAGGGCCCTTCTCTCTTTCTGTTCCGACATCTTCAGCATGTTGGCTTTTATCCTTAGCTCTGCCCTCATGGTCATGAGACGCCTGCCACAGCTCCAAGCATCGCCTCTCTCCATAGCAATGGCTAAAGTCTCTTTCTATCTCTCTGTCTTTTTATCAGAGGGGAAAATCTTTCCCAGAAGGCTTTTGCACGCCCTTGCCCCAGCTGCAAGCAAGGTTGGGAAAGCCAGCACTTTGCCTTTTCAGTGGAACTGGGCTCATCTCAGCTGGCTTCTGGAGGTCCCACCCTCCCCAGGCTCCCTCAGATTAAAGTTCAAATGCCTGAAGAATATGGGCTAAAGCAGTGGTTTTCAAACTGAAGGTCAAGGCCCACCGCTAGCTTAGAAAATCAAGTTAGTGAGTTATGACCTACAGTGTTTTAATTATTATATTTACTATTATTTAAAATTTGAAGGGTGAAATGTCTCACTATTTTTATTTGTTTTGGTCACACATACACTTATGTGTCACCACCTAACACCTTTTCGATGTCCTTTTGCCACACCTCTGAATATGATCATGTTCAAACATATCAGAAAGTTGAAAGAATCGTGCGGTGAATACCCATGTTCACGCCATGCGGATTCTACCGTTCATATATATTTTTTAATTTTTTAGACTCAGGTATAATTTATATACTGTGAGAGCCACCCATTTTGGTGTACGATTCTGTTGAGTTTTGACAAACACAGTGGAGCAGCCACCATAGGGAATAGTC